CGTGCGGGGCCGCGGACGGCACGCACAGGGTCCGTGCGGGGCCGCGGGCGGCACGGCCGAGGGTCGGCTGGCACGTGCGCCCGCCGCCAGACACGCAGGCTGGGACAGCGGGGTCGGGGAGCATAAACGCACCGTCGCACAAAAGAGTCTAGAATAGGCGAAAACTTCCGACGCCTGAGCAACCTATTCTGCTCCTTCACAAAGCGTGTGCGCGGGGTGCAAACGCGCCTGTGGGTATGTATAAACGCGCCGGTCCAAGGTGAGTGACGCGCACGCGTTTTTAAACCGTATTAGGTAATTTTTTGTTAGATTCTACTATTCCTAGATTTGTACTCTTTGAGTTACCTTTTCAATTGTGGGTAAATCCAGTGGGAATGTGAGGACGCTGCCTAAAAAAACATAAAAGCGAACGTTTTTCTGTTCGAAACTGTCCCATCTAGCATTAAATGTCGTCCCATACGTCGCCCACTACAGGTGATCTGCTTTTATCTGGACATGATGTTGGCTTTCCTTAATCAACGCATGCAAATAAATGTGGGAGAAACTGCCAATGTCTGTCTCACTCGCCCAGCTTCGTGCAAACACAAGGGACCCACCTCAATGCAGCAAACCCTACAGCTAGACTAAAAAATATTCCGAGGGCTTAACGCCGATTTCCCAGACAGGCCACATAACGGCTCTTTCCTCAAGGTCTGTGACAAGCGTGCAATTTTGCCAGACAGGCAAGCGCGAGTGACAAGCGTGGAATTACTGAGCGACCGAGCCCATCGTAAAAACGATCTCCGCAAAAGTTTACACTCCTTGGGGCTTTCTTCGTCTGGCGTCATCCAACCAGGTCCGGTTGTCCGAAGTGTTGCTTAAATACTAATGAATTCAAAACATGGCGCCGAAAGGCGGACTAGAGGTATGGTGGGTCCGCCATTTGTGGATGTCATAAAGGACGGATTCATCATGTAATCGGAGAGTGAAATTGGGAGTGGAGGTTTCAAATGCTGCGCTTCTTATCCAGAAACAACCCAAGAACCAAGAGGGGAAAAAGCCTCGAACATACCTTGGAGCGCCAGGTAATTATCTACTGCGAAAGGACCGTGGATAATGTCCCATCGTTTTACCACGTGTTCTGCTCCACCATCCAGTTCAGTTGGGGCGCTTTCACAACATGAAGGCATCAAAAGCAAAGTAAGGAGATGAAAAGCTCTTCATCTTTCATCGTCTCGAAGAGGGTAACGGTCCCCCCGCGATCTCCCCCCCGCGATTCGTTATCATCCCGTCGTTCAACGGAATCCAACGGAAATCAGAGCGGACGGATGCGTACGACTTAATCCGATTCCACCACCGTCCCGCTGATGCCGAGTGGGCCGAAAACTCCGGTTTCAAGTCTCGGCTCCAGCACGGGGACCGTTCTCAAGAAGCCATCTGCAGCGTGAGAACGACGCACCAGGGAAGCGCATTTCGCCGTGCCGTCTACCTGCCTGACGACGACGACTATCGACGACGTCATTCGACCATCCGATGATGTCATTTGACCATCCGATGACGTCATTTGACCATCCGATGACGTCATTTGACTATCCGATGACGTCATTTGACCATCCGATGACGTCATTCGACCAACGACTATTGATGGCGACGTCAGGCTCAAGGAACTGCCGAATCACAGCCGTCCTCCAGCCCGTCCCCGTACGCAGACCGGACCTCAATTAAGGAGACCTGAGACAGGCGGAGCGTAACACAGCCGCATGATAAGGAGACCGCAGACCTCATTTAAGGAGCTGCTCCGAAAGCTCCTTAAATGAGTCCCTGCGTCTGCCGCGAATCCGGAGGCCGGGTGACGACGTCCAACTTCTCTCCGGGAGATCCACGCTTGCGGCACGAGCTCACCGCTGACCGCCCGTCCACGGGGCTGTCAGCCGGTGGACACCGTGGACACCTCGTCCACATCAGCGCGCTTCCACGGCCTCGCCCCGAACGCCAGCGTCGCGCGCCTGCGCGCCCCAGCCCCCTCCAAGGCGAACCGGCGCACCCAGCGTGACCACGAGGCAGAACGGGTCCCGCATGGGCTAGAGTTCTTCGTGGCCAGACCGGACGCCGCCCGGCGTGTGGCAACCATGCAGGCGACGGCCGGGCTGCAGTGAGCCTGCAAATGCCGGTCACGGCGTCTGCCGGTGAGCTACCGCGTTACACGTCCGCAGAGGGGGGAGGGACAGCGGTGCCACGGTCTGGTGACGCCCGCGCCGGCGCACGTGACGCCACGTGACGCACGACGTCGTTAGCGGCGGCGTGACAGGCGCGTGACAGGCACGTGATAGATGCGTGACGGATGCGTGACAGGCGCGTGGCGGGTGCGTGACAGGTGCGTGACAGGTGCGTGACAGGTGCGTGGCGGACGCGCGACAGACGCGTGACGGGCGTCCCTTGAGCTTGCAGGCGGAGCGTAACACAGCCCATGATAAACGGCCCAAGGTCCAGGATTCGTGACGAGGGTACTAGACCATGTACCTCGCCATGTTTACATAACCACTTGCACCTGGTCCTTGTATAGCGTAGATCGCGATGGGGATCGCTGTCGCGCGCTTCGTACAATGCAAGGATATGATTCTGGAGCGATTCTGGTTTCCGACCAACTTCAAGGATATGATTCAACGAAGTTGTGGTGGCCAGGCCATGGTCGCGACCATAGTTTCGCGGTCGCTAGCGCTCCGCAAAAGGTTCGGACACGCTAACGAGCACCGCGAAACCTTTTTTAAAGTTTTTTATCGTGATAGTCATTAACCCTCGAGTGACTTCACCCAGACGACGACCCTGACAGACAGAGCGGCGAAAATCGCCTGGTTACGGCGGTCGCGGGAGGAGCTCAGCCGCCATTCAGATCCCACTCGTCCCCCCTCTCCCCCCCCCCCCCTGGCGGAACGGCTCGCATGACCACGTCTGATGCTCAAGGACCATGGCGACTTCGATCGGGTCCCCGAGACGCGACCCACCAGCTCACAAAACAGCCACGCAAGGCCTCGCGGCGCGCTGCGGGCTCCCGCCGCGAACCGCGCCCTGTCTCGCAGCGCACCCGCACCCGCCTCGGCACCCTCGCCTGCACGGCGACGCCACGAATCGACCCCTGCACGCTGGCAGCGCACGCGGGTCGCCGTTGAGGTAGCGAGTCCACGCGAGGCGAGGCGAGGCGCCGGACCGGCGCCCAACGGCCGACCGGCACGCCACCTGGCGCCTGCAGTTCCGGCGCGGCGGCGACGGTTCCGGCGCGCACTGTAATTGACTGAGCTTTGCGCGAAGGATGGATGGCTTTGTTGTGCGAGGTGGAAGAGGGCGGTTTGCGCAGGCTGGCGGCTTTCGTGGTAATGCGATTCGGTCTGGTGAAAGTAGGCAACATGTTTTTTTTTAAATAAATTTATTCCCAATGGCTCGTATGGGCGACTTTGGGTTCACAGTCCCTGCTAAGCATAGCTTGTTGTGTGTACCCTGAACATACCACCCAATTCGCGCCGTCCAGTTCAAGGGATAATTTTGTCTCCGCCCTTGCGTCAGACAGGAATACGAAGGGTTTTACGTGCCGCACAATGCCGCGGCACGGCCACCCCGGGCCTGGGTTGACCTTCGTTGGCTCGTCGCCAACTGACCTATTCACTTCAGTAGGCCAAACGATGCGCCCGTTCTGGGACTCGCACCAAGTGCCGCTGGAATACAAGTCCAGAATCTTTCTCCTAGACCACGGAGGCGACATGTTCAACTAGGACATTCAAATCAGCGCATCCAAGAGGCTCTAGGGCTTCTGTCCAGCGGTAGGAAGACCTCTACGCTGCATTTGTTTGTCCAGGCTACACCACAGACGTCCGCTCTGTGACCTGGACCATGCAAGGTGCACATTTCACGCCTCAATGCCGTTATAAGGGCACGGCACCGGCCACCAGCCCCTCGAGGAAGCCTGACAACCTCAAGAACAAGGCCGCCGTCGGCCCAAATCCTGGCTGACGGTCCCGACAAGAGAAATGAACACGTGGAACACGCTTCTACCACATTCCACGGCCATGTCTGAAGCTCTGCACCTCTTTGGGCTGCCTTGCCCGCCTGCCCCCCCCCCCCCCCCATCCCGTTCCATTTTGTCTTGCGTCCTCTCCAGGTGCAAGCCTCACTTCACCCAAAATGGCGTCACAAATAAGAAAACCGCAGAGGGGCCGTGCGGTGTCTCCGGTGCCGCGCACCCCCAGAAGCGTTGGAAGCTCCGCCCTTGGCCGGGCCACGTGTGCTGCACGCCCCGCAGCCAGCCTAGCTGCACTCGTTCGAGCCGACCGCACATGGTAACGAGCGGCCGGCGCCTGACAGCCGGCGGCGCTGGGTGCGCCGGATTCGCCGCACGACCCCGAACCGGCGCAGGGTGCGCCATGCTCGCCGCGCCGCTCCGTGTCGATCGGCGCCTCAGCCCCCGGGCACCTCTGAAAGGCCACCTGAGATAAAAAGTGGGGCGTGCCAGATTCGCCGCACGACTGCGGACCGGCGCACCGTGCGCCAGACTCGCCGCACCACCCCGCGTCGGTTAACGTCCCGACACCGAGGCACCTTCGAAACATCGCCCGAGGCAAAGCAGCAGAGTGCGCAGGGCACGCCGGTTGCAGCGGCGCGGGGCCGTGCTGGGTTCATGGGGCACACGGCGCAGCAGCCGGCCGCCGCAACCGCGCCGCAATCGCCGCAGATTTATAACCCCGGCCAGACGGGCGGCCTTGTTCACGGCAGCGCGAGCGCTGGGGAAGGAGGGGGGGGGGGGAGGCTGGACCAGCCGCAGCCGGGCTCGTTGGCGTCCGAGCCCACTCCACCCAGTCTCCCGAGTCTTTCCCTCTCGACCCCCCCTCCCCCCCCCCTCCACATTCGTCCACAAGTATCGCGCCGGAGCTTGCCCGCGCTGCGGATGCGCGCCGGCGACATTTGCGGTTTTGCAGACGGTTATTTCTCGATGTCGGCAAGGCCTTTGACCGACCAGGGCCGACTTGGGGGCGGTGAGAGCGTCCGCTGTGGGTGCGACGGGCAGCATAGGGGCACCCTGAGCGCCCATAAAAGATTGCGAAAGGTCGGAGGGAAGCTCCGGGCCGGCGGTCTCCGTGATACCGCCACGAAACGCGAATGACGCAGGGGCGTACTCCAAGGACCCGTACCAGGACCGGTCCGTTCTGGCGCTCACGATTCTGCCTGTCATGGTGGGGCCACGCAAACGGCCGGCGCCGAGACGCTATTAATGACCGCAAAGCAGCGGCGTCCAGACGCCCCGTGGAGACGCTTCAGTTGACGTCAGGCGCCGCACTGCCCGGTTATTAGTAAAGTTTTAATACGGCTAAGTGCAATTGCTTACTTAACAGTGGGAAACTCGGACGGACAATTCGGATGCATGGCCCCTGCGCGGCTCAACGCAATAAGAGCACTTGAAACTTGCAAGCGATAAGACGAATGTGTGGGCACCGACTATCAAATATGCAATAAAACACAAAGTACATGCTGGACGGCACGGTATATTCGTCCGGATGATAGGATGGCTACTTTAATTCATGACACTCGCGTGATTATTTACAAATAAAGGGAGCAAATATCTTCTCTGGCGTTCTCTTGCAACTACGTACCCAGGCTACAAACATCCCGCATTTATGAAACGTTTTATCTGTCCGTAAGGTCTCTCACTACGCATATGTGCATTTAGTTCGAACCATTTCGGTCAGTTAGAGCATGCTTTTCGATACATAGGTAAGAACACGGCCATTTTTGTAGCTGGGGCCTTCACTTCAAGGCAACATGGCGCCATTATTGCATGGTTCGAGAAATTATCTCCAGATGCCACTGTAATAGGTAAAACAAATCCCGTTACTTAAGGCACTTGCATTTCCACCCGCATACCTCCACCATCATAACCCTGTAGCACCATGCATATAGGGGAATTGACATTCAGTGGTATTTTCCCTTGCATATTTGCTTTGCCAGTAGTTTAGGATAACCAAACGCGTCGGGGCCTTCGACAACTGCATGACAGCTACATGGCAGAACAAATTTATGCTACTGTTTCGATAACGACATGTTGCCGAAATATTAACCCAACTATATCTCCATTCTTTTGATTTTTTTTCTCCGAGGAATAAGGCTATTACCACTGTCTCAGCCGAACTCACCAGTGTAAAACATTTTTTCAGTTATCATGTTATTTAAGATATTTAAGATAGATATTATATTATAATTAAGATATTGTATTATGATTATAATTATATAAGATCTGCCTGCTGAGCGCAATTCGAATGCAGCTTTCAATCGTCCGCGTTTGCCCACGTTCTCCGACGCGACGTGACAACTCGTGGCATGCTGCGATCTCGCGAAATCTCGTGAAATCTCGTGTGTTAGTCTGCTGCGTTTTGGTTCGGCTCTGGAGCGGTTCTACTACGTGGCCATGACACTCACGCAGGTGGGTGATGTGCACCTGCGTCGTCAGACCTTAGCACGCGTAACTGGCCAGTGTTCTCGCCGCATGTGGGTGATGTGCACCTGTGTTGTCAGACCTTGGAACGCCTAACTGGCCGGTGTTCTGAGGGTGTGGCACAACAGAGGGACATCAGCACTCAGAGCAGGCCACTGGCACTGCAAACGGTACTTACCGACTCTATCCCGTCGGTGGAGTTTTCCTCCCCCGAGTCCATCTCTATCTTGGGCCGTTTTATCTGGGAACACACAGCACCAGCTATTCTTACACAAAAACCGGTATTGGTGGGGTTTGATAAATCAACTATTCTTAGAGTTCTAATGAATGCTATTAACATGCAGCGATACCAGACAAAGCAAACGCAAAGATCTCGTGGAGAACGCTGCATGCAAGGGACGTTATTTAGGTTATATCATTTCCTTTATTGGACATGAGAAAGATCGGATTATTTTGAATCCGTGATTTCACACACCCTGAGAGATTTGATTTGACTGTATGTTATGCTGCACTGACTAACACGCGTGGTAATTCAGTGTATTATGGCAGGAATGCAATACGATCTTTATAAACAGCCATTAGTTATCACGAACATCCTCAGTGTGGGAGGTTCCCAAGAAGAAAGCGAAGCGTTTCGTTAAATCTTCATACGGCCGTGGCGTCTTCCAAGAAGACTTCGCTTTCTCGTATCAGGAACAAAGCAGTCAGATTTTCCTGGCAATGACTACAACCGACTCTTCTAATCCAAAGAGTGGGTCAACGCCTGTTCACTCTTCACAGCACCACGGTGTTTGATGAATGGCAAGCCATGCAACACGGCGGGGGCGAAAATGGGCGGAGGAGCGCAAAGAGGAGCGGCATACGAAATAAAACATTCCATGGAGCGACTTAACTATCAACTGAATTTAACAGCTGGCTAAATAAGACCTGGCTTAGCCGGAAATCGGCATGTACGTACTTAAATAAAGGAAAGGAACAAAGCACACGTTGACATCCCAGACAGGCGGCGGCGCAGCGAACAGAGTTCTGGCAGTATACGCCAAGTATGCAAATGTACAAGGAGTACACAACGCATGGCGGCACGTGGAACGCCACAAAAGTCAGTAAAAAGCCACAAAAAGTTTTCCGTCAGCTTCACCGCACTCATGCTCTCACCACAGTCTGATCCTCCCCGTTGCTGGCGGTCGGGCCGGGCGGGTAGGTGGGGGCGGTGGCGGGCGGCGGCTCGCCTCCGCCCCCGCCACCGCCGCCGCCACCACCGCCACCGCCACCGCCACCACCGCCGCCGCCACCGCCACCGCCGCCGGCGCCGCCCGAGTCGAGCTCGGAGCGAGGCCGCTTTCGGTCTAGGTCATCTGGCGCTTCGGGTCGCAGGGGTGGGTCACCAGGCGCCCCCGGGGCAAAGTGCAGTCCGCTGACGTTGGAGCGTGTCCCGGCCAGGCCTGGGGGCACGGGGTGATGTCGGTGGGTGACCCGGACACGGCAGAAACGGGCAACAACAGAGGCTGTGCTACATCGTCAAACGCCGTCCCCAAGCAGCTGTGTATGATGTTACAGACAACGACGTCACAACGACGTCACACTTAAGGGTAAGACTCGGGCACACCGTCGTGACGTACTTACCTTTGATGTCATAGGTCCCAGTCATCAGTTATAGGTCATCTGTACTTGGGGACATCATTAGCTTGTGAAGAACGCACCTCAGAGCGTTTGAGCGAGAGAGCGGTTCTTCGTTGGCAAACGTCATTCCATGGTGACGTCACATGTAGCTGCGTCACACATAAGCGACTTAAGACATGGTGTGACGCCGCTGTGTGTGACGTCATAGGTGGTTACGTTGGTTTAGCGGTGAAAAGCATCCCCCAGCCAGCCAGCAGCTCTACAAGTTGGCGAGTGATCTGCTTCGAATTACAGGTTTTTGAATGCATTCTGTTCGGGCCGACGTACTAATGTCTCGTGCACGACACGTACCGTTGGTTTATTGGAAGGCTTAAACCACTCTCAGTACATGCACGCGGAAATTGTCGCGAACCCAATGGCAACTAGTCTGGTCACATCATTCGACTGGTGGATTTTGTCACATCGTTGGGCATCAAACAGACGCGGCTGAGCACAAGACGTCAACAACGACAGGTTGCGGAATTAATCTTGGCACTGGTTGTCAAACATTTAGGTGCGAGAGGCACTGGACAAGTCGCAGACGGACTAACAGCGTCACAGCTCAAGGTTATATTTCATGTATTTTTGGCTCGCGACGTGACGGTCCCCGCGAAAAAGTTGCGAGTTGACAACTTCCACGGAATCAGCCTTACCGCAAGCACTGCTTTGGCATCTGTATGGGTACGGGTGTAATAGCATTAGGAGGCCACCAATGCATGGACAGCCAGAGGAAACGGCAGCAGTGGCAGCAGCAGTGACAGTAATAGCCGCTGCCTCTGACTAGGACCCTGCTGAAGCCGGTTAACTTATCGCAAACAGAAATTTCAACCAGCATATAACTTTTTCAGCCGCCAGTAACGACCATCAGCAAAAGAAAGGCTGTGGCTGTGGCCGCTCCTCTCGCACTGAAAGGAAAGCTCGAAGGGTACCGATGTCCCTCACGGTGATTCATACAGGTTTGCGCCCAAGTGATGATAAATCTACGTTTAGACATGTGCAAATGAAGCCAAAGGCATCATGCAGCCTCCATGATCCGGGACGTAAACGGAATTTCCTGGTGAGTTGTGCCCCCTGTTTTGCTGGTGAGCTACTGGAAAGAAGAGCCAAAAAACTACACAGGGGCATATCGCACAGTTATCAGAAAACAATCACAACATCACACACACCCATTGCCTCATCTTCAACACTCCCCGCACACTGCCAACGCTTCACACGCGTGCGGAAAAGTCTCCACTTCGGGGTGAAGAGAAACACCACACCAAACTAGCACATTTTTCGGAACTGCATTAATAGGGCAGCCGCGGGAGAGCGATACGCTTTTTCAAAGGTGACATAAGCCGACATAAAAAATTTTCGGTTTTGGCAGGTGCCCAAACGCCGCTGCTGGACGCGCCTGTGTCACGGATGTCTCCGGGAAAGTACCAGGTCTGATATAGGCAGTAGAGGCCTCGTTTGAGCGGCGACAGCCGGCTGGACGACGGACGGCCGACGGGTCAAAGATAGACGACGGCGGCGGCCGGCCATGATGCGGACGCAAAGCTCGGCGGCGGCAAAGAGCTCTTCAGTTCGGTGCAATTCATTGCAGCTCAATTGAGTTCAGGGCTTAGTTTTTGCGTATGCGTACCATTCCATATGGATCGGCTTGTGGCAAAATGTTTAAAAAATGTTAAGGAGAAAGATGCAAGCTTTTGGTGTTGTGGCAAGAGCCATCGTTGCTGCACAAAATTTTGATACTAAACGAGATATTCGATACCTCTGGATTTTTTGCTTCAGGGTATCCCAGAAGCCTCAATGGATCGAAACTGAGCGTGCCTGGGGTGTTTCCTTCTGTCTGTCTGGACCGCTCAGTTTCAAGACCGGCACTCCATCTTCTTTTCATGGACATCGAACTGAACGATATCTCAGACGTGGTGAGCCGGGGTCAGATCCGGACGGAAAACAGATGCGATCCGGATCCGAAAAACAGATCCGATCCGGACAATCCAGATCCGGACTGAAAACGCTTCTACCGTCGCGATGCCTATCTGTGGTACTGTGGCCAACTGTACTGTACTGTACCGTACTGTGGCCATCTTTCCTTGAGACACTTCTCCCGGCAGATACAGCCAGCAACACTGACACTACTCGCGGATACTACGAGCTCGGACGTGCCCTTGGGTGAGACGGTGTGCACGCCATAAACTTCCTCGGGTACTTCCACACAGGGCGATATCCGAGTTCATCCGGAACATCCCGTCTGGTCCAGGGCAGAAGCCCCTCTTTTCCGGGCCGATCATGCCGCGACAACGGGAAGTGGGCTTTGTCATCCATTGCAATATCCATGCTCTGGTTACCACAGATCAGATCACGGACGAACTGGCTGAAGCGAGTTGAGCGAACCCCGCTTTCTGGAGCTCTTCTCTGGCGGCTGGAAACCTGGTGTTATTACGCCTCTTCATGCCTGGCGGTCGTTCCCTGATAATCCCTTTTCGTAGTAAGCCCTTACGTTGACAGCGCTTGGCCCAAAAAGCAAACTGAGACGCCAGCCCCCTGAGGGGCCGCCCTTCGTGAGTGCCCCTATCTTTCTCTGTCTTATCTTGGCCTGAGTTCTTCCTGCTGCCCTTTTTCACGGCGTTGGGTGAGAGATGTCGCCCTTCGTGTCGATATCTCCCACCACACGACACGCGGTCGCTCGCAAAATGCATGAACGGCTGAAGACATCGAAGAGAGGCTTTTCATTTTCACTTGGCTCAGCATGTTTTCGACCACCTGATTGCGCAAAGAGTCACTTGATATACAAGATATGACAAGAGTCACTTGTCACTTGATATACTTTCGTGCCTGAGCCCCCCCCCCCCCCAAATGCTCCTCCGAGCCCTCCCAATGCATATGAGCAAAGACGGAATACCGGGACAACTAACTATAAAACAATTTTCTCAGCTATTGGTGTGCTAAGCAACAGGTACCCAAACACATCACCATATAACTCCTTCATATGTTACGCCAGTCTGCAAGTCTTTGACCAGCATTTCAAACCGTAACGCCTGGATTGGGATAAAGAGAAACTGACTAATGTATGCGACGGCTTGAAAAGTACAGGATGGCGCAGATAAGAGTTAACGCATATCTTCCCCACAATGGCAAGTGTATGCGTCGCATAATCGTGGCTGTGGTGATTATACCCCACGAACAGCGACAGCGGCACTGATACGTGATCTCTTACTGAGATTTGCTCATATTTTTTTCTGTGAATTACATCATATTCGAAGTTTTTCACAAAAGGTAGGCTACATTTACTTGAAATGGGAGGGTATTCCTCTGCTGGAAAACAGTTTAAACTACCCGAAATGTAACAACAATATTTTTGAACATCGAGGATTCGAAATTAAGTGGTCGAAGTCCGGGAAGAAATCGGGTTTTCAGGATAGATTAACTCAATCTTTACGGCTGTGCCCCCAAGCCGATTTTGGATAGTGACATAGTCCTCATGCACAGACGAACTTCCACAGTTAACGTACCAAGTGTCCTGGAGAGCCAGGGACGTAGCCAAGGATAGGAACAAGGGGCCGTGCCCCCCCCCCCCTCCCCTCCCCACCCCTGAGCACAGAGGTTTGTGCTATATACTGGGCAATGTCATACGCTTTGGTCCAAAGTCGCAGGATGTTGAAGAAAATCTGACATTTACCCTTCCCTCCGCCACCTGAGGAAAATTGGGCTACGGGCCAGGAGATAGTACGCCAACAGCCGCGATAATCGTCAGCATTGGACTTTTGTCCAATAATTAATGGGCGTGGGGTAGGTGGGATATGGGGAAGACACGGACGTTGCGGTGTCCGCACTAGCCTCGAGTCTCGGAGTATCAAAGTCAGGTCACAAAAGAACCAGTTCTCAAAGTTTGCCGTAGTAAGACCCTCAAAGCATAAATATGAGATACATATTTCATAAAGAAATAACGTAAAGGATTCGAGCACAGGGAACGATTTGAGTGGGATTTTATAGGGCATTAACTTCGGAATCGGTCACGGGTCGGCTGCAACAAGTGGGATGGAACAACCGGCTCATAAGCTCCGTGAAGAACACGAACGGTGCCTGAGTCGAATAACACAAGGTATGTGAAGCATGCTAAACAGGCTTTCATGCTATGTCCATGAACACATACGCAGGAAGTACGCACAACTTGTGGACTACGCGCACGAAAAAGCACAAATTTCGCTTCGTGATCTTTCGCACGTGATCTTTTTCAGATGTTCCCCGGGTGCGCGTCAAACTAATAACGCCCTTAGAGAAACGAAAGTGGCGTGCCGCGCGTCATCTACATTGCTGCCAACTCTCAGCAGCCAAACTCCACCAGGTGCGCTGTCCGAGGTAATGAGCCGTCTACTGGTCAAGCTCACGAAAGGCAGTGAGTTTGTTGTGAGTTTGTCAGTTTGACAGTGAGTTTGCATCATTTGCGATGTCGCGCGCGGTAAATACGGTAACTATGGCGAAGTTGCGGCTCAACGTCTGGCAAACAGACAGACTTCTAACCAAAATCCAATTTCAGCTCAAAATGATTTAATTTCCTGTTGACATTTTAGTAAATTGCTCTTCTTGTGTACCTTCAAACTTCTACATCCTAGCCTTGTGCTCGCTTCAATGGTAAAAGTTGAAGGAACACGGGTGCATTCCCAGCCCCAAGACTACAACACTGCCCCACTTCCCCTCCCTCCCAGCACCATGAGCCAACAATCCTCGTCGCTCGCCAACGCTGCGCTGGGTCACCGCACGTCCTCTGTCGTGGGTTAAAGCCGCGGTCTCGCCTGGCCCACGTATGCATACCATGTGGTGTATGCCGCGCAATGGGGCGTCAGTTGAGACGTGCCCGGTACCGAAGCATTCAGTTGTTGTATTCGACTTGAAATGTGCATAAGCTCATCGAAATCGACACCTGTCGATATCATTCGCACGCGCCAGGCAGCTGCTCCCCGTGTTCTTGCTATCACAGCAGACGAAAAACTTTGCTCAACAGCCGGGATAGAACCCACCGCACCTCATTTGCGGAGAGAGCGGCGCCCGCGGCGTGTTTCGCAGCATGACGGATTGGAGTGCCACAAGGCAGAGTCCTGTGCTTACCTCGGATCATGAGGCCTTGCGCCGTGCAGATAAGCGACTGGATGTCATCCTGGTGCACCTCCACTTCTCCTTTGTACATGAACTGAATAATGTTCCTAAGCTCCGAAAACTTCACATCTGAAATGCACGGGGGAGGGGGCTAGTCGCAACACGTGGTGGCGATTGTCGCGTATGATTATGATGGTTCTGATGTGGTGTCATACAGCGTTGCTGCCAATTTTCAACTTAGCATGTTCGGTCATCGCATATTTGTGTATATCCATTAAGTTTCAATGCTTTGCAATGGTGCGTCAACATTTTTGTCCGCATAACTGGTGCTAGAGCATCTACAAGACCGGGCGGTTTCCCTCTCCCGGAAGCTGTGCCAAATCGGATATCCCACCAACGGAAAACTGTCCTAAGAACTTCGGGGACAGCACAAGCGCGGCTAGGTTCTTCCAGCCTCAGCAGGGGGAAGCCTCCCCCTCCCCAGGTCAGGGGGTCTCTTCCGGCCTCGCCGCGGGCAATCAGAACATTCTGCATCATTACCAACTCACACGGCCGGCGACTGAAACGCAAACTATTATGCAGAGGGTAGACGCCATTCGTCATGTATTTCTCACAGCTGTTGCCACGCTTCAGGCGCAAGGATACTACTCACTTTGAGCTTTTCGACATGTGCAAAGCGTTTGACGGTTAAATGACTGCTGTATCACCGCAAGCATGGGAGCACGCGCCGTGAAAAAGGTCATAAAGCATGATACGCTCGCATGAGTACATCGTCACATACAGACATGTAATCATAGTGGATGACGATGGATGTTGGCGCCCTATGAGCGTGCAAATATCATGAACGCAGGGGTGGTTCAAACGAAAACTCACGCTTCTCAGTACGAAATAACAGGTTGGCATTGGCACGAGCATTTTTGACGCACGACAACAAGATTGATGACTGGGCGTGGTCACGGCTCAAATTCCAATTACGAACAGACTACGGCTCAGATCACAATCACGAACAGATCACAGCTCAGATCACAACCACGAACAGATCACCGCTCAGATCAAAGCCACGAACAGATCACGGCTCAGGTGCCAATCACGAACAGATCAAGACTCAGATCACCATCACGAACAGATCACGGCTCAGATCACAATCACGAACAGATCACAGCTCAGCTCACAATCACGAACAGATCATAGCTCAAATCACAATCACGAACAGATCACGGCTCAGATCACAATCACAAGCAGATCACGGCTCAGGTCACAGTCACGAGCAGATCACGGCTCCGTTCCCGGTTTCAACGAAGCAATTGTACGGACTGAGACCATCCCAAGGTTTTGACATGGACGCTGGCGGAGAATGGTGCTTGCCATCCAGGGAATGACGGCATGTTTACCACCCAGTTATCCGAGCGGACACTTGGTCCCCCGAGGTGCCGTCCTTCATGAGCCATTTTTAGTTACATGAAGCAGATGTGGGCGATCGGATAGGGGGTCTTACCGATTGATCAAACATTGTACTATGGTGCTTAATGGGCCATTTATACGTCAGTGGACATTCATACTTATGATTACGTTTTGGCTCGACCGATTTCATCTTAAAACGACAGAACCAAACTTAGAGCCCAATGCTCCTTTTACCAAGTTACAATCTGCAAGGTGAGGGTGCTTGCGGAGTTTGCAGTCACTTTTGCATGTGAAATGTCTGTTTCTTCAAATTCTCGGTCTTACAAACACACTTCCTCTTAGGCTGCTCAATGCGATGCATTAAATGCCCGAACTCTTGCGACGTTTTGCCCGACACAGAACATCATCGAGCAATTGCAAGCAGGCATGATATTCACATAGCACTTAATGATGGTTTGATCTGCGCAGTGCTCAGGAAAATCCCGACCAGACACAAATTCGGTAAAGGTCGATCGCAAAAAATGTGCAGTGAGCCGATCGCGGCAGTTTGGATAAAAAAGATTAAAGCATGAGAAACTCGTTTATGATCCCCGAAGGAGCCCGCAGCAAGGAAAGTTATTCCATTCTGCCAGGAGGCGGAGGACACCCAAGCAAGCGGAGTGTGCTCCTTGTGTTGACCTGGTGGTTGATGATAAGGTCGGTGTTGCGAATGTACACGGCTTCCAGGACTTGGAGCTTCCGCCTGTTAGAGCGATGAGTGACAACAGTGGTGTTATTAATCATATGCCCAGGTGGCTGCTGTGGACCTCTTTGAGATGGTGGTGCGGCCCTCCATCTTGCAGGTGCGTCGTAATGGGCCTACCCATTAGGGCCGTGGTCGTGTGGCCTATAAAGGTGCCACCACGACGGTGCGCACAGTCACCGGTATTGCAGCGAAACTTGACCTTACATACATTGGTCGCCTTCAGCAGAGACGGATGTTGGGATAACTTATTCTTCATGACAAGGCTTGGTCACTTTAGGGCTCTGGTGGGAGATGGGGAGTCGTGATGATTTCGTCTCGAGGCTGGACGGGCCGAAACGCGAAGATAATCTGAGGCATCGTATCCAAAAACTGCCAGCCGTGCAGCCTCGAGATAAAATTAAGCCCGTCATCTTCTACCGGAGCTCTAAAGTGACCAGCCTTGCCATGACGGACAACTTAGCCCGAGACCCGTCCCTGCTGAGAATGGCCCACGTAGGGTCTAGTTTCGCTGCAACACCGGTGACTGTACGCACCGTCCTGGTGGTGCCTTCGAGGGGCACGCGGCCACGACGTTCCGCACGCGTATTACGATGCACCTGCAAGATGGAGGTCCCTGTGACCATCTCAAGGAGGTCCACGGCAGCCAACCGAGCATACAGCTCACGATCAATAACACCACCATTTTTGCTCATTGCTCTAACACGCCGAAGCTCCAAGTTCTGGGAGCGGTATACATCCGCAACACCGACCCCATCACCAACCGCCAGAGTAACGCCACGGGCACACTCCGCTTGTTTGACGGTTCGCCGCCTGCTGCCAGAATGGAATGATTTTCCATGCTCAATGCTGCTTCGGGAATCTTGAACGAGTTTCCCGTCCTTTTTTGTCCGAACCACCGTGATCGGCACTTGGCGAATTTTCCTTGCGATCAATCGTTACCGAATTTGTGTCTTACTGTGATTCACTAAATATTGTGTAGGCCAAACCATTCTACAGCGCAATTTGGATACTGTGCCTGCTTGCAACTGCCTGATGATATATTTTGCCGGACGAAACGTTGCAAGCATTTGAGGATTTATGATATCCCATTGAGCCACCTAGCAGCAAGTGTGCTCGTAAGATCGGTAATTTGAAGAAGATACTGCACAAGAGATATGCTGTCATTTACAAGAACTTTTACACAAAAGAGAGCCCGTTCCTAGGCACATGCATATATATATATATATATATATATATATATATATATATATATATATATATATCAAACAAAAATGATGAGAAGACTTCCGAGAACGTGACGAACTGTGGCAGCGGTCCTGCCCTTTAATGTCCGAATCAATACCACGCCCGACATCACTTACCCTTCAATATCACAATCGGATGCGACTCAGAGTGGTCTTGAAAGAGGGTTTTGAAGTACGGCGAGCATGCTGACAGCACGAGCTTGTGTGCCTTCAGACTTTGACCCTCGCACGAGAGGGTCACGTCCACCAGAGATTCTGCAAGGTCGGAACGACGGTCAGTCGGGGCGCCCTCAGACTCAGGCTCAGGCTCAGACTCAGATTCATGCTCATACCCAAACTTAGACTTACACTCAGACTAAGATTCGGACTCAGTATCAGTCTCAGACCCAAACTCACGCTCAGACTCAGTCTCATACTAAGACCTCGACTCAGACTCAGTCTCAGTCCCAGACTTAGACCTAGACTCAGACTCAGTTTCAGACTAAGACCTCGACTCAGACTCAGTCTCAGTCTCACACTTAGACTTAGACTCAGACTCAATCTCAGACTTAGACTCAGTCTCAGACTTAGACCTCGACTCAGACTCAGTTTCAGTCTCACACTTAGACCTAGACTCAGACTCAGTCTCAGGCTTAGACCTAGACTCAGGCTCAGTCTCAGTCTAGACTTCGCTTCAGTGGCCACGTTCGCCAAGGATTCTACAAGACTGGGGCGTAGGTCAACCTGAGCGCCCTCGGACTCCGACCCCGGCGCAGGAGGTCACGTTCGTCAAGGACACCGCAAGGTCAGAACAAAGGTCAGTTTGCGCACCTTCCTGTGAAGGTCACGGGCAGGTCAGATCACGCTTGCCCGCTGTGAGTGGAGAGCTTGTGAAGGGAACAGTTGCCTTTCTTATCTCAGCTCAGCCTAAATGTGTGGACACGCGTGGCATTCAAAGTTGCAACATAAACTAAGGTCCCTCCACCCCTCCCACCACCTTTTGATGGATATTTATTATGCCTGTTCTGTTGAAAAGGATAACATTTTAACTAGAATGTTTTTTTTAATGATGTTCCTCGGGATTACCTCTTTCCGGGATTACCTCCGCTGAAGTCACAAATTTAGAGAAACCTAGACGTAGAGATAGTAGAGGTTGCGATTATTGTAAATGCTGAGGAAGGGATTGATATTATCTCAAAAGCGTACATTCGATGAAAAGTTGGTTGGAATAATGGCTTTTTACATTAACTATGTCCCTGCTTGACGGTGCTTTCAAACATATGTCATTCTCTAACTTTCGCGTGTAGTTGCGATTCCACCAAGTTGAAGGAACGGAGTCCAAAAGATGTCAAAGGAGTCATCGGGTCCGCGGAAGGGCAGTGGGCCTTTAGCCATCATTGCTCGAGCGCATGGGATGAGTGTGTGCACGCTTGGTTATGGTCATCTAATGTTTGCCTCGGCTTGATCAATCATAACTTTAGCTTTGCCATTGGCTGCACCACACTTCAAAGCCTAAAGAATACACCTATCGGAGCATGCCCTTCAACCATCCCCCAACAGGCTCTTGTCCGCCGTTTCCTGCATCCCATGCCGTAACTTTCGCCTCGTCTACCCAATTAAATATTCTGCAAGGTCATTCAGAGGTCAGCGTGTGCGCTGCAAGACCGCACGACCTGTCCACGAGGTGCAGCGCAAGATAGACGGTCCGTAACATCTACTGGAGTTAGCGCACGGTCGTGAAAGGTTAGTCACTGCGCATTCAAGGTTTGACCGTCGCAAAAGGCAACCGCTACGGCCTGTTTCATGTTGAGAAACTACAGCTTAGGTGGACTTAAGTCGCGCCGTTCAATAGTATGGGTTATATGCTATGTGATGCTATCAATATTTATATTTGTGCTATGTATCGCGGTCTGTCCCTTTCATGCTATACACTTAGTCGAAATGTTCTATGCTTTACTCGAAAGGTAAGTGTTAAGCTTCACCCATGCATGTTTTTTTACCGAAGTGCAAGGCAAAATGTGAAGTAAATATTTTTCTCTGTACAACTCATGTGAACCCGATTGAAAAACGGCATATGCTGTAGTTTCCCCGTCATGAGACACAGCCCAGGTTGTCTGAGGGTTTTCCGCCAGATCGGGCCAGTTTTCGAGCGTTGTTGTGAGACCCAATAGTCATCCACAACTTCAGAGCCGTCCGACTCGTCGTTTCATTTGTGCGTGGACCAACACGAGGTGCCTGTCCTTAACATGTCACGAGGAATGTGCATAATCGCATTTGTGCTCTCGCTGGAAAAACGCATCATCCACCAGCCAAAAGAAGTGCTTCGACGCACGAAATATCTACATCGGTATGTAAAAATGACCAAAAAAGGCAGAGTCCAGTCACCCTTTAAGCCGATTGTTCCCAAGCATTAGGATAGATAGCCTTACAATTGATAATTCCACGAAGTGTCAAGGTGATAGGGCCAAGGACCCAGCCTGTCTCCCACTTTTACCAGACAAAGTGAGCAGCATGCGTAATACAAAATGGCTTTCGACACACGTCTGCTGCATGACACCCAGGGGGGATTTATTGTTATCATCATCTTCGTGATTCGGAGTGTTATTGTAATCATGACGGGCTTCTTCGATGACTGGGGCTGTCTGCTTGCGCTGTTCTCCTTAACGTATGTCAACCCTCAGAGATATGAAGCCACCCCCTCCTCACTTCAAAACTACACGACGGCAAAGTTCCGCACCCGCGCATGTGCGCATAGCTCCAACCACGCACGTGCGTATGTGCGTCAGGCACCTCCCTCCCAGACGGGAGCTCATCTACGCGTTTTGATTGGTCGCCCGTCGTGCGTCTCCGCCCCCATTGGCTACCCGCACTCTTGGCTGGCCGCTAAGTGCGCAGTGAATTCCGGCGTTGTCGGCGCCTGATTTGTGCGTCGCTGCGCCGGCGAGGTCCCGGACGTGCGTGCAAGACACCAGCGCGCACCAATCGCAACGACGATGCCCCGAGCGGCAAATACGCGGCAGCGGAAGCGACCAATCAGACGGCGCGGTGCTTCGTGACCGAGCCGCGGCGGTCGCGGACCAATCAGAGACGATGTTGCATGGGCCGAGGTGCGTTAAGTGCAGTACATCCGGGCGCGCGGCACACGCAGAGGGCGGCTGCCAGGGCGGAGCCGGGGCCTGGCCCTCGCGTAGACGCGGGGCGGCGCGGGCGCGAGATGATGACGATGATGATGATGAGATGATGACGTTGCGGAATGTTCTGGCATGCGTGAAAAGTACGCTTGCCGCTTGGGCTCGCTAAGGCGTGGCCTAGCTATCAACTCAAGCACGCTGGGCCCTGCTTACAACTAGCGGATCTTCCCTTTTGCATGGTACAGCTCTGCCCACGCCCCCCCCCCGCGCTCTGTGTGACCACACCTAAACCATGTACCACGCCCCACGCTCTCCTCTCCAACCCAGCACCCTCCGGAAAATCCTTGATCTCGAGCGCCAGTGCTCGACTTCCCTCCCCTCCCCTGCTGACAGGCACAAACCGCGCAACGCTGTGCCAAAGGCACCAAACACCGCCGGCGCCGGCCCGCGGCGCACCCGCGCCGCCCGTCCACTCAAACCAGCACAGCCAGCAGCGCCAGCGCGTGACCCTTGGCGCAGCGCCGGCGAGCGTCGGCTCCCGTTAGCTGCTGAGAGCAGCGGCTAACGGTCGCACGCGGCTATCTTCCGGGTGGCGCGACGCTGCGGAGATCTGGTGCGAGCTGCGCCACGGGCGCGCCCAGCGACGCCGTCGCGGGCGCACTTGGTGTGCGGGCTCGGAAGATGGGAGGTCGGTCGTGGGTTTTTTGTATCGCTGCGTAAGTTTTCAGGAGGTTTCGACGAGATCATACGAGCCTCCAGCGAGCTTTCAACGTGTGAGAGGGAATATATATGTATTTATGTATATATATATATATATATATATATATATATATATATATATATGTATGTATATATGTACATATATGATAAGTGCCTGAATCCCAAGGGTGGATCCAGGACACCATAAAATTTCATGCCATTGAGATCCTGACGAGATCGTTCTGGGGGCTCCAGACACCAGCCCCATCGATGACGTGGCGGGGTGATCAGGCGTGTCACAGAGTGGCACAAAGTGAACCGAGTTCACTTGCCACGGAGTGAGCCGCACTGGGAACTGACACTGCGGTTCAGTCCAACTGCCTTCCGTGCGGTACGTTTTGAATCTCAGCACACCTCTGCCGTTCAAAAGTGGCGAATACCGAACATCGCTGCCGTGCGCGTAGTGCAATTGAAGGTCAATACGATGGACGCTGCGATGTGCCACGCCCGCCCCCGCCCCCCCCCCCCCCCAACCCCCACCAACCCCCACCGCGCTGAGCGGTTATACAACACCACCGGATATCGTGGGCGGCGGCGTCGCGGCGTTGCAGGTGGTTTACGGAAGAGGCACACACATCCTGTCCCCGGACTGCAGCAAAAGTGCTGAGTAGAAGACAAGCCTGTGGCGAATGGCGCCACGCAAGGGTGATACAATGGTGATGTCACGCTGGCTGTGACACCAACATGAATTGCACTTCGCCAGTATCGGTTTGTGGCAGTGATACGGGGAATTATCACCACTTCTGAGTTCTGCGCAGAAAATGGGTGCGCGCGATAACGTTGTTTCGCTGTGGGGACGGGTGCGCTTGTGTCATCGCTGCCAGTGTTATCATCGTCGCCAGTTTCGCAAAAGTTATGACATAAGGGAATCGAAGACACAAGGTGAAGACGCGTCCATTACACGGAAGGCGAGGAGAGTTCTCGCCAGGTACGTGGTTCGATGCAGTTCTTGATCCCCCTGACACGAGGCTAAACGGCAATGAAACGGTTAATATCACGTCTGTTCCGCGGTCATCCGGAAAGATGAAGAGAGATTTGCATTTGTCCGTGTGAGCCGATGGAGTGAATGGAGTGCCAGATTCCTTGGGTTGTATGAGGGAGGGAGGTGGGGAGGGAGGAGGGAGGGAAGGAAGGAAGGAAGGAGAGAGAGAGAGAAGAGAGAGAGAGAGAGAGAGAGAGAGAGAGAGACGAGAGAGAGAGAGAGAGAGAGCTAGAGATGAGAGAGAGAGAGAGAGAGAGAGAGAGAGAGAGAGAGATGAGAGAGAGAGAGAGAGGAAAGAGAGCACTTGTACGAGAGAGAGAGACGGAAAGACGAGTGAGAGAGAGAGAGAGAGAGAGAACGAGAGAGGAGAGAGAGAGACGAGAGAGACTGGATGAGTAGAGGAG